TTATGCATATTTAAGTGAGTGTCAAGCTAAGTAAAAGTAAGAGATATCTAAATATTAAAATATAATTTGTTGTCGATTGGTTATTTACGACCAAACAGCAGGCCTCGAGCCAATCAACCTAATGCGAATTCAATAATTAAGAAGCTGATTCAAACAAATCAAATTTGACAGCGCATTTAAATGTTTGTCAAGCAGAGAAATATTCGAGATAAATAATATTAATATAAATCACAGCGAATTTGCATGTTTATGCTATTTATAATGTTTGAAAATAGGCTTAAAAATTTGTTCAAATTTGCAGCTTTATTCAAGTTATGTCAATTTGAGATAAATAGAAAAAATCTAATAAAGATAAATCAAATAAGATTTGCATGTTTGATTGTCGTGTGAAAAGTTTGTTGATGTGAATATGCGTTAGCCTAAAGCCAAATGATAACTTAAAAAAATATTTAACATGAAACTAAAGGTCAAGAAGTTAGGCATTAAAATAACAGAGAATAAATAAAAAATTATAATTACTTTCTATATGCATGTAAATACTATTTTTTTTTTTTTAAATAAATATTTATTGTTCGTTCTACACATAAATCCCTTAAAAAACCTCATAAAATATTGGAAAATATCCATAAAATATCCTCTGCTCCTCTGCCCCGCCCTGACACGCACAACAGCAAACACTTGAGTTTTAGCCAAGCAAAACAACATAAAAATTGTCAAAAAGCAATCAAAGTCGAGTTGAACCACCGAACCACCCGACGCACACGCACAGGCACAGGCACACCCGGCCGTTGTCCGTTGGGGGTCAACAGGCCTGCCCGTACAGAGGTCACTCGATAAAAAGGGACGTTAAAAAAATAAATATATATGAAAATCAGCGGAACATGGAACGATTTCTAGTTGGATGACTAAATGATGATATATGCATATACGTACATACATATATATCAAATATATAAATAAATATCGTTAAAACAGACAGCTGGCTGGGCATTATTGCCATCTCGCTCGCTCGCTCTTCTGCCGCTGCTGCTGCTGCGGCTGATGCTGATGGCGCTGCGCAGGCGCACAGCATGTCATAAAAAAGCACTTGAGGCTAATTTCGCTTTGGCTTGTTCAGCATTTGCCAATGGCCAATGGCAGATTTTTTTAATTAAGCTAGCAACATGATTGTTAATAGCAACAACAACAACAACAACGCTAGCTACAACAACAACAACAGCAAATTGTCGCTTTAAAAAAAGCTGTTGGCAAGCAATTTGTTGTGCATCGAATGAATAAGTGAGTGAGTGCCTCARCGAGTGTTTGACTCACAGAGTGAGCAAATGAATAACTGAACGAATGACACTCCTCAGTTACCGCTGTTGTTGCTGTTGTTGTTGCTGTTGCTGCTGTTGTTTCTGGTGCGTCCAGTGCACACGCATATTGAATTTCCAGAGAACATGTTTTTAATTTTCATGCCAGAATAATTTTGAATGGCGGAAAAACGGTTGGACAGCAACAAAAAAACTTGAGAGACAAACACAAAAAATAAACATGAAATGACTGACTAGCAGATGCCCTGTAGAGTAAGGCTGACAGCATCAGAGAGATATACCATTTAGCAGACGGCGGCAGGAGACGGAGACAGAAAGAGACAAAAATGCAATGACAGAAGACTGAAGAGAAATAACAGAAGACTGAAGAGAAAGAACAGAAGACTGAACAGAAGATAGAGGCACAAGAGAGCGCAAAAATAGAACAAGATAAAATACAGAAAACAGAGACACAGAGAGATATAGAGAAAGGGCGAGAGAGAGAGAGAGAGAGAGAGAGAGAGAGAGAGAGAGAGAGAGAGAGATCAAGAAAGAAATAATAATGTCAAAGACACAGGCACGGAAGAGATCGATTTCCTTTCGATAATGCTCCCCTCTGTCAGTTACACAAACTCTCGAAAGAAAACTCATAATACCCTATATCTCACACATATTGCAAATCTGTACAGGGTATAGCCACATTGTTGTTGCTTTTTGTTATCGTTTTCGGTTTTTTCTTTTTTGCCACTGTGAAAATAGCCAATGGCCAGTGGAGCTCGAACCCCGGACAGCTAACAAGCTGTGGCATTGACCATGCGGACCCCCCGTCCCCAATGGCACTTGAAGCACAGGTGAGCTTGGTGAGCAGGTGAGCAGCTGCTGCTGCTGCTGCTGCTGCTGCTGTCGTTGCATTGCATTTTGGAACTGTTGTTGTTTATTTTTGAAAGGTTATTTGAAATTGGCTAAATGATTGCCAAAACAGCAGGAAAACCAAATTAATTGCTGCTATGCAGAGTTACAAGAGTTCACAGTGAATTAGCATTAAAGCGTCACGACACGAACCATTGTGAATAGATTGAATGCAAACTAGGCCTAGCTAGAGAAATGCTTATGAAATAAGTTTTGTATGTGTGTGTGTGATGCTAGAAGATGTGGATGTAGGAGTTATAATATAATAAGATCGTTCAATGATGGTATCATAAAGGGAGAGTTTATAAGGCTATCATCATTTCAACAGATTTTATCATATATAATAGATTACTGATATAGGAAAAAAAAAAATGTTAAACAACATTTTTTGATTAACAGAAAATGTATTTAATTATAATCAGGAAGAAAATGATTTAAATAACTAAAATATGATGAAAGCAGAAATATATGGATAAACTATGAGAAAATATATTATATTACTTACAAAAATTCAATTAAATTAAAAATAAAGATTTCATTTTCATCTTTAACTTAATTAATCTTCTACGTTTTACCTAGATATATTTTATTTTTTAATAATATACAATGATTTTCGATGATTCTCCTCATAAAATAAAAAATAATCCAAATATTGATATTTTAATATTGAATTTATATTAAATTTATGAAATATTATAAGTATTATAATACTAATAAAATATTGTAATCAAATACAAATTTCGATCAAACAACTAAACCTAAGCCAAGTCGCAGCTGTTTAGCTACCTTAGACATCGGCATATATCAGCTATATGAGTTCTGACACTCTTTCGATTTTAGTGCCATAAATCTCAGATGCTTTGATCTATTGGGAAACGCCCCTCGACTGTCAACCCTTGTGGCATGCACCACACACAACGTACAACCACTCAACCACTTGAAAAGTGAATGCAATGTGACAATAAATCTCTAAAAAAAAAAAAGACAACGAAAAAATTTGTCACTTTCACCACCAGATAGAAAAAAAAAAACGATTGATAAATGCCTAAATTCTATACAAAAAAACCAAAAAAAAAAAAAACAATATCTATGAGCGCTGAGTTTTACGCTAAATTGCTTAAGGACAAAGGATGCAGGATATAAAGGAGTAAGGGAGTAGGGGCAACCGCTATGCTTTTCGCTTAATCCTTTTTGTAAAAACAACCCAATGCAATTGCCACTCAAAAGGTGAAAATTGTCGAAAAACATGAATCAAAAACCAAAATTATCCTTTAACTGGCCAGGACCAACCGCTGCTGCTGCTGCTGGAGTCCTGCTGCGCGCACGCGTTGACTTCTTGGCAGCTGCGCAGTCGCCGTAGCCACTGACCAGGCGCCTGCCTCCAGCCGCTGCGGTCGCCGGACAAATTGAAATAGCAAAATCATTTCGAGCGACACGGAAAATTGCATTTAATTACGCGGCCAAACAAATGCGTTTAAAAATTTTTCAAAAATCAACCAAGTTCAGTTTGTCGAAAAAATTCACGCCTCGCTACACAAAAGCGCTGTAAATTATATATATTGTTAGCTGTAGCCTGGCCAGCGGTCAGTTGCAAGGTTTTTAGGGGCGAGTTGCGTAATTGCAGCGCTCTGAAACAATGGCGCACAATCAAACACAACAGGATATCTCTGCACGCTGACCCTTCAGCCATCAGCCTCCCCCTCTTCGGCAGGCTCTACCTCTGCCTGGGTTTGGCTAGTCATGTAATTTTATTAGTCCTGTGCTCATCGTTTGTTTGCTTAGGATGCTGCTAGCGTTGTTATAGTTAAGGGCAATAGTTACATGTACATGGCCAGTTACATGACAGCCCATAATAATAAATATTGTCAACTAAATTATGAAACAACCCCCAACCCTTAACTCTGGCATGACAGGCAGTTGATAGAGCTCTGCAATTGGGAACTCAGCTCAAAGGTAGAGAAATTTATTGCTTGCTATTCAAATAATTCTGGTTCGATTTTAGCTAGCATTGACATATGTATATAGTTATAGTCAGCTGCATGAATATAAGGTCCAGTACCCAGCCGCTAAAAACTTTTTTTTTTTTTTTAATATTTTTATGTAACGACAAAAAATTATTTTATTTAAGACGTCAAACAAAATTTTCAAACAAAAAACTTATTCGGAAAACTTAAATGTTTTCTTCATGCTATTTTATTTATGAATTTAGTAGTAGTAGTATACGTTAGAGATTCTTAATTTGAATCTTGACGAGCACCACTTTTTTTACACATCTGGCAGCACTATCGCATATTTCTACCATGTATGCCAATTGGACTTGATTTTTATAAAAACTAATGAACGACTCAAATAATTAAAGCAAGAATAGAACACAATTATTATTTAAATAGATAATTATATATTAAATTATATACACACATTTTCAGAATAGGTATAGCAATTAATACATGTTAATATTACACATTAAGGTATTTCAGATTATATTCAAAGTTTCAGCAGCAGCGCAGTTCAAAGGCTGCCACACGGTAGAAAAAAGTTGCACAGAATACAGTTGATGCCACTAGACGAAGGTGGGGTGGTTTTTATAAAATCGATATATCAACTATATATTTATCGATATATCGACAGCTATAAACAAATTGTTGAAGAAACCATTTAAACATAAATACAATAAGGAATAGTAGCAATAATAATAATTAAATATTACACATAACATATTCTAAAATTTAGCCATACAACGATCGATATAGATTTGCTTCATCTGTATTAGAATATTGAAGTGGCTGTCAGAAGTAACGGGTACGTTTACAAACTGTCATCTCTAAATCGTAACTAAATTTCAGTAACAAATTTGGAGAGGTTTTAAACAACCCAAAAAAAAAAATGGCCTGCAAACAGTTGATGAATCGTGCTAGCTCCCTAGGACGCTGCAACCAGAACAAGCTGATGCCGCTGGCCAGCATGCGCTGGTCCAGCACACGCAGCGACATCGAGAAAGTCACACACACGGGCCAGGCAAGAGCCGCAGCGCTCAGCTGTTTCTATTTGCGATTACGCAAACAAAATTTGTTATTAATTTCCGTTTTGCTTAATATTAGGTATTCGATAAGGACGACTATCGCAATGTGCGCTTCACAAATGCCAAGCGCTATGTGAATGAGAACTGGGGCATCAAGCTAATCGACGAGATTCCACCCAAAGAGTGCGAAGAGCGCGTTGTTTACTGCGACGGAGGCAACGGTCCGCTTGGCCATCCAAAAGTCTACATTAATCTGGTAAATGGAAGACATTGATGTGCATTAAATGTACCATATTTATATGTTTCTATTTTTTCTAGGATAAACCCGGCAATCACAGCTGCGGCTATTGCGGCCTGCGTTTCGTGAAGAAGGAGCATCATTAAAATCATTCTTTGGTTCTTAAAGAAAGCTCTTGTTACTAGTTGAATATATATAAATATACAAAAAACGAAACAACTTATAAATACCAAGCTAACGGAACTGTGTTTACTGGAATGTTGGCGGAAATATGGGAAAATGTATGAAACAAGTCTCTTAAGGATAAGTATAACAGTTATCTAAAGGAGACCAATTGGAAAGCTTAAGCTTTCACTCTGATCAAACCACTATATTGCATATTAGTCTGAGGTTAGTAAAAGGAGCTTTTAATAAAAAATTCTTTTGTTTTAGGAATCTGAATATTACAAATATTTTCGAGATCTTCAACCTACGTCTATCTTGTTTAATCGGAACTAGCATCAATTTAGATCTCTTAAGGAACTTTTCATATAGTATATGTCACATAAATATGATTCTTTAATTTTTCTGTCTTTCACTTTAAGACTTTTCAGACACTCTGTAAATTTAATTCAATTTCGAATGTTCTTTTAAAATAAGTAAAGCTATCTAAAAAAAATAGTAAAATATATTTGGAATAGCAGCATTATTATTGCCTTGAGGCAAATTCTATCAAAGCAGTGCAATTATAGCAATAAATAAGCAAAACAGCTGTTATATGATATAAATATATGCTAAACCAAATGATATTTATATAACTACCCACACCAGCATATATACAGATATCATATACACCACCTACATACATATGTATGTATGTATATATGGCATATGGAATGAAACGCTCCCTAGTTTGTTGCATTTGTTTTTATTGCACAACACTTTTATTCACTTGCATTTCGCTTGAATGATATCTAATACAATGTTAAATGTATGCGTTCTCGCATTATGGTCTATTTGTAATATGCAAACTATTAACTAAAATATATATATTTATATATGTATACATATACAAATCTGATATATAAATATGTGTATGCAAAACAATAATTATCAAAAAAGAGGAAATTATATAAATGTATATATAAACTATATAAGAACTGATCCGTTCATACCATAACATATTGGGAGTGCAAATATAAGTATATATATAATATACAGATATATAGTAAGTATATCAAAAATCAAATGTATATATATAGATCATAATTATGCTTTGTTTTCCGCATGCCATTTGCGAGATTTTTTTTTGTTGATATTTTCGTTTTTGTTTTTTCTTTTCTTTTGTTACTACGGGCACTTTAGATGCTGCACGCTCCATTGAGACACAGATAGTACCACGAAGAGAATACAAATATAAACAAAAATAAGTCGAGTGGGCCACAATGCGGCCCCACCGCGTGCGCCATGGATCGAGTCAAGCCGAACTGGCCCAAAACTGAAAAGAATCATGTTCACACAGCTGCAGCAGCGCGTCCTGCGGGAGAGGACGCGCCGCCCACTCAGCGCCTGGAGAGTGTGCGTGGACTCCTGGCAGCAGTGTGCTCTGGAACTGAACTGGTGTGTGTGGGCGCGTGTGTGTGTGGGGCGCCATCAGAAGCGCTGCTCACGCACACACACACACGCACACGCACACATAGAGGCAAGAAGGCGATTGATGCTCGCCGCTTGCTCAAATAATCATCAATGGTATTTGACCACGATCAGTGGAATCGTCGTCATCTGTTGTCTCAATTGCGTTTCATCTAAAACACCAACAAACACTTAAGAGAATGTAAACTAAAATGTAATAGGTTCTAATTTGGATGTTGTGTGGGACTATGTTGCCGACGAATCGCTTTAGCTTATCTTCATACTGTTGCTGCTGCTGCTGCTGCCGTTGGAGTAGTAGCAGCAATGTTCGCTTATCTTGATTGGGGCAATAGTTGTTCACCACTGGTCACCAGAGGTTCCGTGGCATGGCGTAGCCTTCTTTTGTCACAAATATGTTGCGACTCATGCACGCCTTGCGATCTCCGCCAGCTCCAACGCCAGCAGCCGTCGACCCAGCACTGCCAGGGCCCTCCTGTTTAACGGTCGTCTCCTTGCGTCCATCCACTATGCGAGTGACCGTGGTTGTCCGCTGACCGGTCGAGTCTTGGGTCACCTTGGTGGTCTCATAGGTGCCGTCGGGCTTGCGCACCGTCTTGGTCATGACGCTCTGGCTAAACATCTTCGGACCCTGATAGGTGCCATCGAATACGCCGCCAAACGGTGTCATGGGCGTCATAATGTTCGGCTTGGCGTTCGGCGGCGGACGCGACGGCAGCATCACAGCCGGCTTCGTTTCGCCATCGGCATTGAGAGTGCCATGGATGCGGCCCATGATGAGCTCCTCGTCCGAGAGCTTGGGACGGGGCGCGGCCCGGCGCAAGCCACGCTGATTGGAGGGCAAAATGTTGTCGTGGCCCTCCTCCGGATTCAGGCCCTGTATCAGCGAATACAACTGATCGGGATAGATTCTGGAAACACCAAAGGAAACATAAATATATAAATTAGCTTATCTATTATCCACCTACTCTCCATCCAGATCGGTGTCTAGCGCGTTGTGCCTCTTCTGAAACTCCTTAAGTATTTTGCTTTCGAAGCCCGGCTTCAAGAAATCCTCCCTCAAATTACGCTCCAGCCCAGCCTCTATTGGGGAAAAGCAAGAGTTTCAAAGCTGCTGAATTATGGGATTCACTATAAACTCACCTTCATTGTCCTGCACTGACTCCAGCAGTCGCTGCAGTTGCCGCTCGAAGTGCTTCTGCATCTCCAATGGACTTGTGAAGACCTGAAAAGCAAACTTGCGATCGTCATCGAACAGTTCGTCATCCGTTTCAGCCTCCTCGAACCATTGCGGCTTGCGAAACTCATCCTTGTTGGAGGCGGATGCGGAAGCACTGCAAAAGCGTAGGCGGCTTAATCACAAAGGCAAAAGGTGCACAGAGACTCATATATATATATAAACACACACACACACACACACACACACACTCATGTAAAGAGTTACGACACCCGCACACACGCACACAGCGACATAAAATGCAACCCCAGCAAAGCCCGCAGGAAGTTCACTTCAATACGCAGCCTCCGAGCACACACACACGCGCACAGTTATGCAAACCCATACACACACACTCATGCATATAAATACAGGCAGTGCACACATTTGCGCCTGTGTGGTATCCTGGTAAAAAGTGTATCTATCATAGCAGGTGCCTGGTTTATCGATCCATTTCATTGAAAAAAGCCGCAATTGAAGCAAATAAATCGAATTAAAAATAACTTACTCTGACTCCGGCTGCTGCTCGAATTCCGATTGGAACATTTTCTTCAGTATGTCCATGGCGCGTTGTTGCCTTTACTTGTTTGTTTTCTTGTTAATAAACTACCCAGAAAATGCTTAGGGCTTATCCTTTTTATGGGAAGCCAGCAACGTTGTTAATTTGTTGTCGAGAAAGAAAAAACTAAAAGAACCAAAATGACGCAAATAACAATTGACTTAGCAAACTTGTTAAATATATATATGATTTTATAGTTGTTGTAGTTTTTCCTTCTGATATCGTTCAGTTATGTGCACACAATTTTCTTCGAGTATCTCCTAAACACCACCACGACGGACAGAAATTGCTCGATTAGCGAACAGCTGAGCGGAGCAAGTAGCGGTGAGCGTTTCGTTTCAGCTGTCCAACACAGCACACACATGCACACACACACACACACGAACAGTTGTGTTTGTGTGTAAGCGTGTTGCGTCACGAGATGGAAGCGAAACGCTCACTGCATGACTGTGTACATACTGGAATCAGAACATGGCGGGCTGATTTGAAATTCTCTCCCTGCTAGAAATTTTGGATTAGGTGTTGAAAAAACAACTAAATTCGATTTGGTTACAATAATTTATTCAACTTTTTTCTCTAAATCTAACTAGTTATTATTTTTTTTTTTAATTTAATACTTGGAGAATGTGATGCAAGAGGCATAGAAACACTGACAAATTGTTTTTATATAGAGATTTTTGGTCTCTAATGGTGCTAATTTGAAAGTACTTCCACTTGGCCTCCTGCAAGCAGTTAGTTTGTGTGTTAGTTTGCTTATACTGATTTGTTAGTTGGTATTTAATTTAGTGGTTATGTTTAAACCGCATTTACAAACTGCGAGATCTTGATTTGTATTGATTTGTACAAATTATAAAGTTGCTGTTGCTTCCCGTTTCATCTCTTCCCCCTGATTGTTTGTTGAACTCTTAGCAGCCAGACTGTCTTTTCTCTTCTTTGTTTTTGTGTGTTGTTTTGGTACTAGTTGGGTGCCCCTCTTAAGGTTACATACACTAAGTCAAAGTAATTTAAAACTCTAAGCCATATTCTCCTTGTCGCCGACGCTGCAGCGTTTCCCCTTCTGAATCTTCATCATTTTGTTCTCGTCGGCGCATTTGGTGGTGATGGCATTGCGCACCTCCTTCTCGCTGGCATTCGATTTGCGGGTGACCGCAAAGATGATGTCCTGGATCTTGAGCGGATCGAGCATTTGCTTCAGCGGCTTCTGCTGGTCCTTGAACGCCGGCGACGGCTTCCCGGTCATCGAGTGGGTGGCCAGGGTTTCGCGATCAAAGATTGCCACCAGCAATTTGCGTGTGGCCAGCGAGGAGACGGACCAATTGATGTTCTCAAAGACGCTGGCCGGCACACAGGTGTTGTTCGGCCCAATGGAGACCATCACATTGTCCGCCTTCTTTTGCAGCGTCTTAAACTCGGGCTTCCACTCGTCCGCAGATGTATTCAAATTGCCGTTGCTTTTGCGTGCCGGCAGCTTGTATTGCATATTGTGCAGGTGCTGCTGCTGCTGCTGCTGCAGGGGCTGAGGGTGAGGCTGTGGTGCAGCCATGTTGTTTTGGCACTCCTGCAGCTCCAGCTTGCGACGTTTGATCAGCTGCATCGGTGTCGAGGACTCGCGCTTGATCTGATGCTGCTGCAGTGGCTGCTGCTGCTGATCCTCGCTGCCCAGGCAAATCTCCAGACGATCCGAGTCGGCGGAGGTGCTCAGGCTGTTCAAGCTCTCGGCGGCCAAACGTATCTCAATGGCATCCGCATCGTTGCAATCGGCGCCAGCGGCCGCTATGATCTTATAGTCAATCACCTCGCTGCGCTGCGGCTGAGCCGAGGTGGGCGCACAGATCACCGAACTGGGCGGCGTTAAGATCTGGGGCTGATGTGTGGGCGGCGACGTAGCTGTGGCCGGGGCCTGTTGCATGCGCGCCGATGTCGCATGGATTTGGGACAACAGATCCGTGTGCTCCTGCAGCTTGCTCTCCAAGTAGCGTACCTTTTCGCGCAGGGCGCGATTCTCGGCCTCCACATGGGGATCGACATCGAAGGTGCGCAGCAGGGCAAAGTCCTCGCTGGTCGTCTGTGTCCAGGCAGTGAGGAGCATCGGCTGATCTGCTCGGCCGTGCCAATGCGAATCGTCGCGCACATTTATGAAATTCGAGCCATTAGCAGACAATATCTAAACACAAAATAATATATTATATCGACTATGATGCAGTTGCATTGCCTTTGTTGCCTTTAGGCCAACTTACTTGTGGATCCATTCTGGCGATCCTGTTTGCTGTCCTGCGTTGTGTGCGTCTTGCAGGCTGAGCGTCTACTGTGCGAAGCGCTATACAAAATCCAACGAAATTGGCGGCAGAATAGCAAGCAACGCGCGCAAAATAAAACACCAAATGCATGCACATCCATGGCCAGAGAGCGAATGAGAGAGAGAGAGAGAGAGAGAGAGAGAGACACAGAGGGGTAGTTTGAACTATTTGGCACAATGCATTCCAACTACTACACATGCTACCTGGGTCACCAATACAGCTGCAGAGTACGTATAAATGTGTTAGTGTGCTTGGTTTCTAGTAGTTCAGGTACTCGAATTTGTTCTCCGCGTGCGTGCTCTCTGGAATGGGACTTTCTACTGTTCTATATCCCAACTGGCGTGCGAGCAAGTTTTATTTTTGATCCTTTCTCTCTTCTACTTTTTATGCCTGCCTGCACCACGCTGCATGCATGCCGTTCGCGCGGGAACAAGAATCGTATTTTGAAGGCAAACAGAGTTGCCAACTTCTGCGTTTGCGCAAATGTCAGCGTTTCCACTGGAACTTAGCAGCAAATTAATGTAGAGCAATGATGATTAGATCTGCATATAACAATACAAAATTGTTTGTAACTATATTATTTATATAAGCTGCAAGTAGTCGCTTGGCCAAACCGGTTTTATTTTTCTATAGAGCGCAATGGGACCAGTTGTCCGCTATAAAAATAAGTCTCCCTCTAGGAATACATCAACGGCTCTCTGATCGGAATAAAAAGGAAAAACATCCCTAATGGCTGCAGATGTTACAGCCATTAGAGCATGAAGTATAATGGAATTTCTTAAGTAGAATCTTCTTGCCAGGTAGAATGAGTCCATTGTTGCGCTCTTTTTGTGTAACGCCTGTAAACTGAATTCGCAAAAGTCTGTATGTTTTTCCAAGGAAATCCTCGAAGACGCTGCATTTTTTGTATAGCTGATTGTTGAGGTCGTATTTCACGGTTGGTTTGAAATGCGAAGAATGTCTGACAAAAACTCAATTTTTTGGTTGGTGTAAATGCAATTGGGTTTTGCTAATAAAGTTTTATATGGATTTTTGAATATATTATATAGAGAAAGGACAATATTACAATATATTTAATTGTTCGATAGATAGCAAATATAACAAAATCTAAAGCCTGCATTTGAATCTCATTAATTTCCAAGCAAATTTTTTGCTTGAAACACTTTCCGCAAAAGGATGCGATTGCCAAAGTGAATTTCCCACTCCCAATAAAATGTACTTTCATGCTCTGGTAACTCTATTGGCCATCTGTCAAGCTGAAAATAACTGTTAATCCTGGATCATAAAATCTTGCCGATTATAAAGGAGTTTTCAAGGCCAGAATTCGTACTTTAGTGTAATAGAAAATTTTTTTTGCGAGGAAAAACCTTTGCAGCTGCGCACACCTTCCGTCTTACCTGTTGCTACCTGTCGCACAAGGGATCAAAAATGCAGAATTTTCATAATATAAATTTTGAATATAAAAATGGCAACGTCGAACCGTATCGTATGCCAGTTCAAGACAGTCCGGAATCGTGGACAGACCAAGCTCGAGCAGCAGCTTACACAAATTTGAATACACCTATAAATCACCTGAATATTCAGCCAAATAATTTGCCAATTGCGCCATTTGCACCTGCGCCCTATTCGTTCGCATATCAACAGCTTTTGAGTCAATTCGCACCGAATTTGGTGCCCTACTATTACACATTGCTGACTCCAGCGCCCGTTAATTTTAATTACCAGCAGAGTGGGGCTCCCGGAATGGACCTCGAGAAGTATATCAACTATGAGCTCATCAAGCAGCAGAGTTTGTTGCGCAAACAGAATGTGAGACCGCGTCCACTCGGCCAGCTTCGATTGCCCGCTATTCGACCACTGTTGGTGCCCAAGAAGGAGCCACAGGAGCGACGTGTCATCAACGTTCAGGTGGTGTCCATGTCAGCTCCTCGTTCACGAGAACCCAAAAACGACGTTGAGCCTCTGCCGCCCGTCGAGCCGTCGTTCAAGGAGGGCGTGGCGAAGATCAGCAAAAGTCAACATCATTATACACAGCTCTTTGATCGTCTGACTAGCGTGCTCCAGACGTTGAATCGACGCTACGATGGCAACGAGCCGGAGCCGAGGCCGGAGGTCGAGCACGATGAAGCTCCGCCGCCGCCCATGAAACGGGCGCGCCACATGTCGAGCAGCTCGAGCGAATCTCATCAGGAGTCAGAGAACGTGACGGCTCTCTCGCATTATCCGCAACGCGTGCTGCTGCCCAACGGCAGCACGGAGTATGTGCTGGGCCCCAATGGCACGCGCATCGATGCCAAGGCCTATGGCCAGGTCTTCTGGACAAGTGCGCCCGTTGCGACACGCTGCCTGCTGGGCGTCGTCTTTAGCAACGATGAACTGGCCACGCACACGCTGACCGGCAAGCCGTCGCCCGCGTTCTATGGACGCGAGCGTCCAGCAAAGAAGATGCTGGATCAGAATCGAGTCGACGATATCGTTGTCAGTGTGCGCAATCGCACCGGCTGCAAGGAGCGGCACATCAGAGCCACCATTACCACAAAGTGCGCCGATACGGCTAAGAAATACAAGCGACGCGCCAAGAAGGCGCTAAAGGACAACGTCATAGACGAGTAAATGAAAGAGAACATCGATCTATATATGATATGGATATGATCCAGCCATAGCTTTAAGAATCTTAATAATCATAAAGACTTTCTAATGCGAATAAAGATGCTCAACTAAAAGCAAATTTTATTGGAGCCATGCCTGCCACAGCCTTCCTCCTATTCTCGTATAACAATAACCTAGTGAATCGTGAAGTTTACTTCTTGTTCGGATTCCAAGCCTCTACCTTGGGAGGCGTTGTGCTGTATGGCATATATGCCTCTGTAAGAATACGTTAAATGTTAGTTTTAGGAACGGAGATTCAATCAATTTTCAGAATTACCCTTGGTGCCAGACAGATTCTCGCTGTGATCCGCAATCCACTTGTGTTTGGGTCGGCAGCCATCGCGAATGGGTGGCAAATCGGTCTACAGGCAAATACATTTTTATTTTATAATTAACAATTCCACAAACAGTGAGCCCACCTTGTAGTGCATCCAGCCGTACCACTCGGCGGGTATTTGAGAGCCATCGTAGTCCATGTTCACATGAGGCGAGTACTCCACCCAGCGGTTTCTGCCATAGAAATAGTAGGGATTCTCAAAGTACCTGTTTCCGTACTTATCAATGCCAATTAGCTTGCCCGTCTTTAGGTCATCATTTCTGTTTGTATACAAATTGGAATTTAAGAATTTTGCAACTTATATAAGAGAGCGATGCGCATATTCCTACCTGTATAGCTTTAAATAGGCCTGCTTAAGTCCGCCGGCTTCGCGTATTGCCTGGAAGAGTCTGCCTAGGCGGTTAATACCTAGAAATTTTGCCATTTTTCTCGCTGTTTGAATTAAATATTAATAATTTGCTAGATTTGTGATGGAAAAACTTACGTGCGAAGCAAAGCAAAGTTGCCACTACGTTGAAATCTCTCTGTTATTGTTGTGCTGCCAGGGCTGCACACATTTTCACCCGGTGTTGCCAAACAGCACACAATATTTTGTATTTTCAGATTTGGCAGCCCTGCATCTACATCTGTTCGGCGATTTGGTGTTTCGTGATTCATTGCACTGGATAAAAAAAGAAGTAAAATTACAGTTCTCTGTGAATAAGATGGCTAAAAATACATCAAGCAATGCGTTTCGGAAAATTGATGTAGATCAGTACAACGAGGATAATTTTCGGGAGGACGACGGCGTCGACAGCGCCGCAGTTGGCCCAGATGAGAACGAAATCACATCGCTGCTAACAAAAGGCAAAGGTGTCGAGGCACTGCTCAGTGCCCTCCAGAACGCCCCCCTACGTTGTAAGAACCAAAACGTCAAGGTAGAGAGCATTGCGTCAAATGAAACATAGCAAGTGCTTATCACATAATACTCATTGCAGGACAACGCCCTGAACATAACGTTGCGCGTGCTGTTATCAATCAAGTCAACGCAAATCGATCAAGCCATCGATTCGGTGGAACAGAACGATCTGATCGATGTGCTCATGAAGTATATATATCGAGGATTTGAAACGCCCTCCGAGGGCTCCAGCGGGCACCTGCTACAGTGGCACGAGAAGGCGTTCGCCAAGGGCGGCGTTGGCTGCATCGTACGCGTGCTCTCGGACACGAACCGTGCTTAATGAGGAAACATTGTTACAGGGACAAGCAACCACAAACCAACAAATATATAAATTAGTCATAACTGTTGTAGTTTCTTCTGCCAAGGAAATTCCACTTGAGAAGCCGTTGTAAACACCCGAGCCGGAGCCCGAGCGCTAGTTTCATTTTGCCGCAATTACAAAGACAAAAGTTTTCCAAATTAGATTTTAACTCGTATTCAAGTATTAAAGTTTTTATTACAAAACTGCCTAGTTTATTCCTCTAGCTCGTAAGCCAGGGGAATCAAGGATAAAACGTAAATAAAAATATGATTAAAACTTGAATTAACTCGAACACAAATATTTGGTGGCACAATCCAATCAAACTTAACTGCGATTATTCGTCACTCGCTCAATGATTTAAAAAGTACAAATTTAGTTAATTATTTAATCAACTGTTTCTGATTTTATTTGACTATTCAAAAAAGTAATAGGTGCTTTAATTAACTTAAAACAAATCGATCACGGCGACAGCCGAACGCATCATCATCTCACATGCAAAATGGTCAAATGGGTCTCAATAAAGCTGATGAAGGAGAAATGCTAGCAAATGCTTTGGATATTCTATGCTGACTCTACGATTCTTCAAATGCAGCAATAAGAAAACAAAGAGAAGTGTTTGAAAAGTGTATATACTTAAATCTATTATATAATATGGTCTGGTTTCTTAGCCCGTACTCAGAACTTGATGCTATGAATGAAATGTGCTAATGTTCTGGGGATACATTCAACAAAGCGGAGAACTTCTGTTTTTGATAGTAGCTATAGCGGTATCTGCAGTTGTTGCTTTTTCAATAAATAGTGCGTTATAATTTCTTGGGATTATCCCTCCCAGCCGCAATGGGCTCCACTGTCATCTTCATCTATCTCTGGTCGGGGCACTCTCTACCACATGTGAGTCTCTCGTATTTCGCTAATAATATGATTCGCCCGAGTGAGAGCCTGCAAAATAGATTGAATATCAACAAATTAATAAACAATCTCAATTTGACAGTAGTTGTAAAATCACCTTCAACATATCCGCCGCCTCTTTTCGGCGCACTGCAATGTGATCGGACTCGTTGAGAAGTGTTTCAGCCTTATCCGACTTATACAAGTGTGTGACTAGCTCACTCTGAAGGTTGTCCTTAACGTAGTTGACCAAAAAGTGCATAATCGCCTTTGGTACGGAGTCTTGTATGGATTTGCGCACAATATAGAAGTAAGATTTAATCAGCCGCTCTGTAGGGTAGGTAAAATATCAGCTAATGAGAGGGAAAGATTATTCGGAGATCAAACGAACCAATGACATCGCAATCCCTTTGCTCCTTGTCAGTGAGTCGGCGGGGATTAGCCATCTGCGGCACATCGGGCAGCAGATTAACCGGCTTCAGTGGAGTTATATTATTATGAACTGGCGTATTGCTAGCCGAGTTCTCAATGCTATCGGGACGATTGGGCGCGGGTGGTAAAATATTTGATAGCCAAGAGCCCGCTGAGTTATCGCCGTTGTGATTCTGTAAAATAGGAGCAGTTAATATTAGCGTGTGAAATTTTGAATATTTGTTGAAGTGTTAGCCAGTTGATGTCTAGGGGCTGCAGTTGTGGCGTGCTTAAGTTAACATGATAGATATTTGGAATTGAAGAGATTGAAATGATTGCATTACTCAAATATAATTTTTTTTTATAACTGTAACACAAGGGAAGCATTCACACCGACGCTTACATACCCTTGACAAAAGCAGCCCATAAAACGTTGTAGAAATCTATGAATATAAAAATTTGAAAATCTTATATTACCTAACTGATGTGATAACAGTGAAGCCGAATTGGTAGATTTATATAAATTATGAATACATTTGTTGATATATACAAACATGCGCTATGATTATCTTATCTTAGGCAGTTTCATTTTATAATAGAGAGAGTTTCTATTCGATTTTGGTAAAGCTTTAACTAATTACTCCCATATACATAATCCCTTTAGTTAATTATCCTATATGCCATATATTACTATAATCTTTACCTGTTGCTCATGTGCATCATTTTGCTGCTGTTGTTGTTGCTGCTGCTGTTGTTGTTGCTGCTGTTGTTGTTGTTGCTGCTGCTGCTGCTGTGTCTGCAGCAGTTGTTGTGACGGTTGTTGGCTCTGCGACATCGAATTGTGGGAGGAGACCTGCGGCGACATTGTATTACGTGGCGTATTCGTTCGGCGCGACTGTACGAAGGGATCACTGTCGGTTTTAAGTAGGCTGGGCACCAGTGCGGCTTCCTTGTGGAAGTCGGGATGCTTGGTATTGATGTACGCCAGTTCGATGGCCACAATGTTCTCGACCATGACATTGGTGGCGGGCAGACGACAACGCAACAGCTGCGTCACCACATCGACAATCTTTTCGTGCAGCTTGGGGAAACTGCAAGGCAGAAGAGCATGAGATAAATGTGCGCTTGGGTAATTCACCTAGCCTACCGCAGCATCTCCTGTTGCACCTCGTTGCCGCAGTGCTGCACAATGCGCTGCATCTCCTCATGTATGAGCTCCACGCAGCGCAGCGAAGGCTCCTCTAGGCGTCGGATTTGCCGCTTCACCAGCAGCTCGAATGAGACCTCGGGCACAAACAGCGCCGGCCTCGGACCCGTTGCATTGCGTATGGCTGTCAGGATGTCCATTTTGGTCAAGCCCGCCAGCGGGTGTATCGAGTCCAGTGTGCGCCCAAAGATCTCATGAAAGATGTAACAAAGGCGCGCGCCGCCGCACAGCTCTGTCGTCTCGATATTCCGCGCGGTGCCCTCAATCGTGGAGCAGTAGGCGCTGGAGAACTTCGTTATGATGTGCAACAGCGTCTGGCTCTTGTCCGACACGTCCTCGCCGTAGGAATTCAGCAGCGATTGGAATTGTGTGGACATTATGTTCACACGTGTCTAAGGTATATAAAGATATAAACTATATATAAACTAGAATATGGAATAATATACTGAGTTGCACCTTAAGATCGGGCAGGCAGTCGCGTATGTGATGCATCAACAGCCGATTCAGCGTCTTGGCCAGGTAGGGTGTGCCGTTGCGTGTGGCCAATGTGGGATACTTGCGCTGCAGGAAAGCCGCCTCGTCCTTCATTTGTTCATCAATGTCCTTCTTATCGATGATGTCTTGTTGCGATCGATTCATCACACCAATGATGCCCAGTTTGACGGGTATGACACGTCCGCAGAGAATATCAATGGCATCGGTGCCGGCATCCATGAGATCCAGTTTGGTGACCACGGCCAGTGTGCGCCTGCCATCGGGATCCACATCCTTGGCCAGCTTGAGCGCCTCGCTGGTGGCCATGTCAGTATTGGCCGCCGTCACGGCCAAAATGATCGAATTGGGATTCTCAATATATTTGACAACCAAATCCTTAATCTGCGCCTCAATATCCTCGGGCTGATCCCCGACGGGCACTTTGGTAATGCCTGGCAAATCGACCAGGGTCAGGTTGACAACGCGTGTCGAGAATATCTTTAGATTAATGGGCTCCGGACAGATGCCCTTGTTGTTGCCCGCCACTCGCTCCGTTTCGTTCTCGATCTCGTGGCGGATTTCATTGAAGTCCGTGAAGCACTTCTTTGTGTGCAGAAAGCGTCCCCATTCTTCTGCATTGACAGTGCCTAAAATAGAGAATTCATAGTTTAAGTATATTTCATATTATTAGTACACTTCCTCTCACCATTCTCTGCTGAGCGATGCTCGCGATCTTCGAGTGGACAGTAAATCAGCTGCAGCACCAGCGGACGACGCGTCACAATGCCTGTGCCTCGTGGCAGAAACGAGCGTCCCACTACGCTCTCGATGACAGAACTTTTGCCTGAACTCTGCAATCGAACACAGAAAACGATTAAGTTTGTAAGAGTGTATATAATCTGCCCATTCTTATATATTATATCTACTATTGCAGCCAGGAAGCCAGTGCTCCGATTAGCCCACACACACACACACTCTTATCTGCAATCTATACACGCTGAGCACTCGAGCTAGACATGTGCCGTAGTGGAGTTACTTATAGACATTACTTGGTGCCAGAAAAAGTCTTAGACTTTGATTTGATATTATTTAAGCAGCACTTTGCAAGTGTCGAAATTATCTTCATTGCTTAAAGTCGACATTCACGCGAGGTTGTTGCCCTTAAATTGAGATGCAATGGGATGAGGTTACATTCTGAATTAAGTTTACGACTTTAAGATTACTTTTAATAACTTGAGCATTGTTGAATTTAGTTAGCTGTTGTAGCATCTCCCTTACTTTCGTTTTCGTATAATAACGGATGATGTCTCTATAAAATTGTTTTTTGTTTTTTTTTTTTTTTATATATGAATTTGGATTGAGATATTCTTATTTTTGCATAAGCCTTTGGAAAAGTAGTGACTTTACTAGTCAGTTCGGGTTTTTACACATAAATAATATAAACACAAATTTTATAAAATTATCAAATATCACTTTGGCTTAAAAATAAAAATAATATTATTATTA